GTATGCCGCTGATAGCAATCTGAAATCTCTGGCTGAATCTTGTCACAGGTTTAGAGATGGACCATTTCAAGTAGCTGGCATCAGACAGAAGCACAAGATATCCATGTGTTTATGAAATGTAGTGGATGGGGAAATTTCTACTCCTAGCTGCTTTTATCTCTTTATGGAGTATTTATATGGGTGTGATCCCACTGGAAGGAACTGAGGAGGCTCCTCAGTTGGCAGAGGACAAGGCTGTCCTGCGTTGCTGCTGCTTGATGATGGTCATCTGGAGTGTTGTGATTTCTGCAAAATATCCAGATGCTGGACCTCAAGTAAGCTGGGAGCTGTATCAGCAGTTCGGGAATTAATGCTACGATGTTATATCATATATATTTGTAGTTGTCTAATGAGAGAGCTGCAAGATGTTATTTTCTCGACGAGTCAGGTCTCGGCAGTGAGTTGTGAGATGTCCTTGCCAATGACCAATCAGAACGAGGCTGCTGGAGATGGCATGATCCAACCTCAGTGGTATGCGGAGTGTGAGTTGCATGCAAGTTGAGTGGCCAAGGCTGCTGCATCACTGATAACAGGAAAGAATGTGGAGATAAAATATTAAATGAGGTCTTAACCCCCTCCCCTCCCCCTTAGCTCATCTGTGGAGCCAGTGTCAATAAGTACCAATGTTAAGAAAGCAGCAAAGAATACAGACATTGCTGGGTGCTGTCCAGAATTTAGGGAGACATGAAGAGGATGCTGCCTTCACTCTCTTGGTCAGATTTCTTGCTCTTGCATTTTTGCCCCCAGATAACATCCAACTTTACATGTGGTTGTTGAAGGCAGGCAGAATTTCAAAAATTTCAATATTTTGAATAACAAGTCATTTCGGGAATATGTACCAATATTTAAGAATAGATAATGTGCTAGGTTGGTGGCATAATTGCTTTGCCAGAATGCTGCTAGATCACCCTTGGCTGCCTATACATACTTGCAAGGTAAGCAAAGGAGCAGCATAAATTGGTGCTAAAT